AAACTCTACCAACTAACACCTTTTTTAACATAACAGACTCCTTACTCAGAATCTGAAGACCTAAAATTTGCCGAAAGAAGTGCTGTTGCTTCCAAGTCGCTAGCACTAAAAATGGCATATTAATTAATACTTACTTATTGTTGTATAGTTTCAGAGTAGCCCTTGTACTAGATATGGGTGTATGTGGAGAAATGGTATAAAATAATGTAAAAGTAATATAAAGTCAAAAGTAAATAAAGAAAAGTTCTTTCTTTCATTCGAATAAATAATATATATAAAATAAAGAGAAAAACAATATACATACTTGTACAGTGCATACTAACCCTTATTTGGCAAGTGAGACAAAATACAATATTGAAGGAAAGGACTTGGGTAAGAGTAAAAAGGTTTTACTGGTCTGTTAAAGTTCTTCATATAATAAGTATTTCACTACTTTGGCGTAAGTCTTTGAAAATAATCTTTACAATTAGCTTAAACATAACTTTCTACTGCTGACTTTAGCTGGTTTTCCTTAAAATAAATCACATATGTGATTAATTCTTTAGCTACCCCTTTAATAGTTTTCTATTAATAAAATTTAATAAAAATCTTCTTGCTCTAAATAAAAAGGTCAAAAGAACTAAACTTAGCTTTAATAATAAATAAAATCAATATCAAAACACATAGTAAAAAAACAGAACATGTTACAAATTAGATAATCACACATGATTTATTAAAACAATTTAATTTTGGTCAATCCGGCTAATCTGATCTGATCTTTGAAAAAAGACGGTTGATTCTAAACTACATAATGATAAATTTATTCAATAAAATTGATATTTTTATTGTCAAAACAATACTTTCTAATCATATTGATACCTTATTATTAATATAAATGAGCGCAGATCCTGAAATTTAATCTAAATCTCATATAAATATATTGTGTTTCGGATTTAAAAACTGAGTTCTTAAAAGCAGTGTTGTTGATTGGTTTTTGAACACCATGTTTAGGGATGATGATTTTTTGTTTTGGTTAAAACCAAATTCTGTTTTTGGTTAAGAAAAATTCTGTGATATCATGTGCTGTTCTTTTTAATGTATTCTGTGATGATTAAAATAAATATGCAAAATTCCATAACTTTCTGGCAAATATGTTCAGAATTTACATTTTCAGGATTTCCTGGTGCCCAATTTGAATTTATAATAATTAACCAACCAAAGTACATAATTTTTAATTAATTCTATAATATTAGAAAATGAAAAAAATTTCATATAAAGAAGCTTACAAACTAATAAATACATACAAAATAATTTATTATTAATATATAGAGAATAGATAGATATGTGTAAAGTGGGTAAATAGGATATTTATTAGGGAAGTGTCTTTTATTACATGATTTTTTTGGGGGTCCCTAACAAAATATCATATATATAGAAAACCATCTATCGGGCTTTCAATTTTATTTTGTACCAAATATAATCTATCTAATTTTTATTAGGATTTGTGTTCAATATGAATTATAATTAAAGGTCTTAATTTAAATACTGATTATCATTTATCATGTAAGAGGGAGGGTAAATTTAATATTTGCAAAAAATTACGTAATAAAAGACACTTCCCTTACTAATAAACCCAAACTATTAAAGAATCTACCATATAAATTAAACCTATTAAACTTTTTATTAATTTATGGTTAACAGGCTCAAATACACTACAAGAACCGACCAAATTTAAATATTAAACCCAGTTCTTCTTATTAAAGAGCTTGTGTCTATTCAAATTAAACAATTATAAATAAAAGTTTATATAATAAAATAGTTTTAGATGAAAACATTTCTGGTTATCTTTACTATACAAAATAATTTGATATAGTTTGCCTTCTGAGTAAAGTTCATAGGATACTGATTATTACTGATTATTTTTGTATAGTAAATATAGATGTTCTATTGAAGCAAAAAATAGCTTTTGTAGTGATTTTTTGTTAGTGAAACATTGTGTTCCCAAAAAGTACTTTAAAGTGTATAAATAAGTTATTTGGGCAATTGATTTACATTAGCTAATTAGACTAATGCCCTCCTATGAGACAATTAGATGAAGAGAGAAAATAATAATGGTAAATAATAATAATTACAGTAATAATAATAATTCTAATTATAAGGTGTATTCTGTATGTAAAAATAGATATTGAATTAACTATAAATAAGGGCTTCTTGGCCTTTTGAGAAAAGATAATTTTTGTTAATCAAATTACATAATTTTTAAAAAGCCGTCGCTCTAATAATATACTAGAAAATGAAAGACAACTCTATATAAAAAAAGCTTACAAAATAATAAATATATACAAATAATTTATCACATTTAGAGAATAGAAAGATATGTGTAAAGTAGATAAATATAATATTTATTATTACTATACAGTGTGGACTATGGTACCCAGTGTGACAAATAATATAGATTGATTTTTTAAAATACTATTTATACATTCATATGATATATAATCACGTGATGTTTAAATTTTTACTAGATAAAATTTTGCATTACACCGGGTACTATGGTCCATGCTGTATGGTAATAAACTCGAGCTTCTATACAACACTAATACATAAACTAAATTTACAGTTAAACAAACCCAACACATTGCAAAAGCTAAACATTAAACCCAGATCTCTTGCTATTAAAAGCTTGCATTTATTCAAACTAAACAGTCAATAATAAAAGTTTATTTGAATCTAACATAAATAGCTTAAACAAAAAAATATTTCCAATTATCTTACTCTACAGTATAGCTTTGTACAGTCCAATAGACAACAGTATATTTTGTCTTCTAAGCAAAGTTCACTGGAAGTCTGATCTTTTTTTTTATTCTTTTGTATAATGACATAAGTTATCTGGGCAATTGATTTACATCAGCCAATCAGACAAACTTTTTTCTTTAAAACACACCTCTTTCAAATTTTGTCCTCTGATTTTGTTAGTCAGTTACCCAATTGCTGTGGAATGATTAACTGACTGATTCTCTGCTAGCATTATAGAAAAAGGAATCAACCAATAAAATATAGCTGATAAGTACTGTACAACCTTTTTAAATAGAACACATGTTAATGAAACACATATTGATTGCAATTTCTATCATAACTGTCCAAGAACTAACCATTCTAATAAAACAACTATTACTATTGTAACTATCCAAGAACTAAGTATTTTAATAAAAAAGCAGATTTTATTTTATATATTTATAATTTCTCATACACATATTAATAATATTTCGTAAGTTGACACTAGCTATAAGTATTTCAAAAAAACATTTTACCCATGTTGGTAAGCATTGCAAGCATGATATAAAGAGTCTTCAGTCTCTACAATATCTAATACTTTTTCTTAGTTCTTGTCTCCTCTTATCTGGAGAAGCACTCAAAGTGGTCATACCAAGGATTTCTGGATGTAAATCATGATGAGATCATTAATTTGTCAATTTCAAACAATTGGCACAATCTATATGATTCTTTGGCCAGTATATTTTTAGAAGAAGCCAGAAGGCTGTTAGAAGAAGCAAAAAAAAAGTCTTTTAGAATGAAGATACTTTTTTTATTTTCAAAAGAAGGGTAACTCATAGTTGGCTCTCAGCAACACTACTACTAGGAGGTTACTTGGAGAATTACTAGGCTTGTTTATTTGAAAACTACTCCAAGTCTTCAGTTTAGGCACCCTAGCTTTGTTGTTGTAACTGCTGATTCTAAAGAAGAAAAAGCTACGTATTAAAGTTATATATCTACACATGTTGGCAAAACTATTAATTCTTAAAATCCCACCCAAATCCCAAATATAATAAAATTGTTCCAAATCCTATCCCAAATATATTAAAATTTATTCCAAACCCAAATTCTAAATCCTATCCAAAATCCCAAAATTTTAATTTATTTTTTTTTTAAAACTGTATTTAATTTAATTTAATTTAATTTAATTTAAAATTCGTCCCAAACCCAAATTCCAAATCCCACCAAAATATAATAAAATTCCCAAACCCAAATTTTAATAGTTTTGCTAACAAGTATATATATACCTTTTTTCATCACTAAATAAAATTTATGCACTTTAACAATCTTCTTCTTACAACAGGTATTTGAAGAACGTTCTGAGCAATGGCTTAAAAAGTACTGGAAAGGTGTAATTTTAGATGTTCACAATAAAGAAAATAAATCCACTAGTAAGCTATATTTTATCTGTATTAATTGATAAATACTATATTTATTAATACCTTAATAACAATTAGAACTCAAAAAAAAATTGGTGAATACAGATATGTGTAAAATTTATGAAAAAATTGTTTTTTTTTTTACTTTAAGACAATATCTAATCTTTATTATTATCAGTTTTAACAATTTGGTGTCTTGTTAACGAAAATTCTTCTACAGTCGCCTTTTCTATCAACATACACAGGTCGAAAGATAAAAAATCAAGCACAAATCAGATATCCGATTTTAAACTGATTACTACCTGATTACCACCTGATTTATGCATATTTTTGTACCAAATTTTTGGTACAAAAATATGCATAAATCAGGTGGTAATCAGGTAGTAATCAGTTTAAAATCGGGTACCTGATTTGTGTCTGATTTTTTATCTTTTGACCTGTGATATTAAAAAGCAAAACCATTGGACATCTTAAAAACATAATTCGAAAAAATATTAGTACTTCTGAAAACATAAAAGCTAAAGACCTCGAAATATAGAAGGTCACTATTCCAATTAAGAAAGTCCAGAAAAATCATATCACACTAGACAATATTGCAATTAAACAGAAATTTCTTATCTCTACAATGAAAATACATAATCTTTTTGACAAAATTCCTAAGTATAACGTGCAATTTATTATCAATATACTTGCAACTATTGATAAGTGTTGTAATACAACTAGTTATATAATAAACTATAGAATAAAATATAACTTTTCATAATTAATATAGAAGATTATATTTTGACGAAGTTAGAGTCAAATGATGTTGCCTACAAATATCAAAAGTTACTTCATGATAAGTTTATATAAAATAACTGTTTCCAGTTGTATTTCTAGTAAGATGCCCTGTTCATCAACCTCCATATCTCCAAGGAATTGGAAAGAATTCAATGATAACCCACTAAAAATATATAATCTACGACCTCCAGAATGTAGTAGACCACTAGTATCTCTTTTCCACCTTGTTTTTAGTCAGTTTTTTAGCAACTATCGCAATTATGAGCTAGATGTTCCAGTCAAGCGATATATACAAGTTTAAGATTTTTGCCATATAGCGGGACAAATCTATAAAAATGAAGGTGATTAGCAATATGCGTCCAGACCATTTTTTACATCATTATTTGATGGAATCCAACCAGTATCTATTGTTACTGATAATGGTTCCATCAATAATAATGTACTACTTATTGATAATGTAGTATTTGAAGAGAAGGCTGTATTAATCTTATGGAAATATAAAAATAAAATAAGTACTTTACAGAAACTTTGATTTTTTAAAAATATATTTATAATATAATTATAATATAATTAATTTATATTTAATATATA